AAATTTTGTAGATAGAAATGTTTCCTTTAACACATTTTTAATATCGTATATTGTTTTTGGTGTGCGGTGTATTGCTGTCGGTAAATCTGGATTTTAATATGTAGCTAATATGATTTGTGTCATAAATTTCTTTTTTTTTATCAAAAACTGATTGTTCGTGAATTATAAACTTACCTGGGTGAATTAACAATTTTTGAGTAAATTGATGTAAAAGCTTTTCTGTTTCTGGGATATAAGTCTATCTAACCTTTCGTTTGAATGTTGAGTTTCTAAAGAGGTAATTGATTCACTTTCTGAATATTATTGGTTTCTGTAAGTTGATTTATATGTTGACGTGATAACGCGTCTGCTACAAGATTTGTTTTCCAGGTTTAGAAATAATAATTGATGAATATTCCTCCAATAAAACAACCATCTTTTTATTTGTGAATTTGGGTTCCTTGGTGAGACTGAGAAAGGTAATGATTGATGATCTGTTTGAATTTCCAGATTCTTGGTTCCGTATAAATAATTTCTTATAGACATCAAAGCACATTCTATAGCATATAATTCTTTTTCATTAGTTGCGTAATTTTGTTGGCTTTTATCTAATGTTTTTGAAATAAATATTAGGGGTATATCATCTTGTGCTCCTACTGCTTCCTTGATTCGGCAGTTGTCAAAGCGAGTTTTTTGGTATAATATTGATTTCATTCCACTGCATTTTGTAAAGAACATTTTAAATTTCCAAAAGCTTGCTTTCCTTCCTCATCACTTCAATGAATACTTTACTTGATGTTCTTTGTGATACTTTTCCTTTACCAGCGGAATTCTTCTTTAATGGATTTGCTATTTTTGCATAGTTTTTTTTATGAATTTTCTATTATATCCTGTTATTCCTCTCAGTTGTCTTATTGCTGTTGGCATAGGATATTCTTTTATAGTTTCGATCTTCTTTGGATCAGCTTTAATTATTCCTTCTGCTACTACGTAGCCTAGAAATTCCACTTCTTTTTTATAAAATTTGGATTTATCTAAAGAAATGATAGTATTTAAATGTTTTGCATGTTCGTCTATGTCCTTTGAAAATATAATAATGTCATATATAAACATGATAAAATTTCCTTATATAATAAATAATTCCCTATTTATGTGTATGTAAACGCACAATATAATCATTAGTTAGTGAGCAGCCAAATGTTTATATATGTAGAATGTGGTAAAATGTAATGTCTTTATTGGGATTCTAAAAGTATGGACAATTGTCAAGATTATTGAAAGTAATAATAAATTATTAACGAAGTTGCATAGGAAAACATTAAAACATCACTTTATTTTTGCACTATTACCTGTTTTATTTGCCATGATAGCAGTTAAAAAATAAAAATTGCAGAATATTAGAAATTGTTTCCAATTGAAGCCCCAAAAAAACACCGTTCTATAGCCTTACAAGATGCACCTAGAAGTATTCGATTATATTTCAAAACAGTTCAATGAGACAACTTTAAAACGTGTAGATCATCATTCTGTTAGTTACACCTCATAAGTTTTCTCCATTACTATTTTACTTGGTGCACAAAGTTGGAGAATTTATCCCAAATTAAACAATTACGGCTATAAGGTCTCATCAAACAACAATAGATATTTACAGGTGATTCATACAGCCATCCATCCGGCCCAGTTTCACTTAATACTTGAACGATGTCAACGTGGCGGAGAAAGTTTAGAATATACTTACACAAATAAAACACTCAAATAATCCTGTAAGAAAATAATCATATATACATAGATGTGTATGTTCTTTGTATTGCTAATACTACATTCATTCTGAAGGTTATTGACCAATGGATAAAAAGCGTCCTTGCCTTTCTTGCTGCACCTCAATCATTGGATTTGTAATCAATCAAAAATGTTTTTAAAAGGATTGTAATAGTGACTTAGAAATTTTATTCTATTTTCTATTTGAAGTCCTTAAAGTCATTGTGGTTTTTAGAGAAGAATAATCTAGGTATAAAATGCAAATTTAAATTTATGTGATTTTACAGAGCCGGAACAAAGAAGCAGTTGTTTCGTAAAATTACTTTCAACAATAATAAAGGGCCCACATAAAAAAGAAAAGAATAGTTTCATAAGGGTATATACCGATTGGGCTTTATTTAATTCAGCAATGTCTCTTCTCCTGTTTTTTATCTAGTTTTTGAGTTTAATTGAGATTTAACCGTTCAACAATATTATATTCCCGGTAGAAAGGAATTTTTAACCTAGTTTATTATAAATCATAATTTTTCCCAGCTTTACCATATTGTAAATTAAGATAATACATTAAAGTGTGAAATGTTACTCCCAATTATTGTTGCTCTCTCCAATTATAATGTTTAAAAAAAGGCTTAATAAATTCAACCTTAATTCAGCAATGAATGTAGGGTCGTTGGGCAATTGGATCTCACCTGAGAACTGACTTAATTTCACACAGTTCATTTAGAGTGGCGTCAGTTCTATGAACTAATATTGGAGAATGGAGTATAGGCACATGGTCTTGGGATGTTCTACAAATTCAATTGATTGCGAAGAAATTAATCATAATATGTATATACGGTTTATGCAGTCACTAACAAAGTCGAAAGAATAAACTGTTTGAAGTAATAGAATTACAATTCAAGTCGATGGAGAAGATAGCTCATGTAAAAGATATACTTCATTTATTCGTAAAATCACTCTTAAGATTAAACGTATTAAAATAAATATATTTTAATATTTGTAAGCCGACATTTTACAAAGGACTGACAAATGCCGGTGTAAACTGATTTTCATTTGCAATTGTTTTAGTTTTTATAATTTACTTTCTCTTATTTTAAACAAATGATTCAATTCATTGAACAAGAGCTATCGATAGTTTCAGTTATCTCATCCGCTGTCTCTAATACGTTATCAATCTACTGGTAGTTCGATTTCAAACATATTGGTGGCACCCATTATACTAAGAAAAAATGTTTTAATTTTCTACATTCGTTGATTGGCCGGTCAGAATGACCAACTTAGCTATCGGTCGCTTTACAACGTCGTTTGTCGTACGAACGTCCACGACACGAACGTGTTCGTCTATACCGGGATAAATATTTACAACGCGACCTAACTTCCATGAGGTCGGTGGAAGATTTTGTTGTCAAACGACTACTAAATCACCCTTATCAACATCCCTTTCAGGGTACTTCCACTTGCACCGCATATGCAAATACATATTTGAGATATTCCTCCTTCCATCTGATACAAAATTGATGAGCAAGCGCTTGGGCTTTTCTAAACCGATTCACGAGCGATATCGGGGGATCATTAATCATGGATTTAGGAGGATCTAGTAAAGGCGCGCCAATAAGAAAGTGACCGGGTGTTAAGGAAACTAATTCATCTGGATCGTCTGACATAGGACAAAGCGGCCGCGAATTCAAACAAGCCTCTATGCGAGCTAATACTGTGGCCATTTCTTTAAAAGTGAAACGAAGATTTCGACAATGTTTTCGGAAATGTTGCTTAAAACTTTTCACTTCAGCTTCCCATAGACCACACATATGTGGTGCACCAGCTGCAATGAATTTCCATACGACACCCTGATGAACAAGAGCCTCCGAAACTGAATCACAACTTTTACGAATGAAACGATTATAATTCCGCACCTCGACGCGCTATAAAGCTATGTAATGCGGCTATAAAATTGGCAGTGGACTAATCCGATACTGCCTCCAAATGAACAGCCTTGGTCGAGAAGCAAACGGATACACAAACATATCCTTTTGCAATTTTGCAAGCCCGACCCGAAAACGATTTTCTCTCAGCAAAGTCCACACCAGCTGTAGTAAACACCCTATCGATAATTGTTCTTTCCGATGGAAGAGCGGCCATAATTTGACTACAATGTTTCTTTTTATCCAAAATCCATACCTTACAATGACGAATGACAGATCGAATCAAATTTTTTGATCTGGGAATCCATAATTCCATTTTCAAGGTACGAAGCATCAGCTGTGTTCCTCCGTGAACATTCTTGACGTGAATATATTCCGTTGTTGCAAAATCGTCAGGCAAAATCCCATTATTGTTGTTTTTATAAAAACAACGTTTGTTTATGAGTGGAGAACGATGGTAATGTTTACCAGGGGGTAAGGCAGGGAATACCTAGTTTTCGGAAAGAGCCACCAATCCTTATCAGTTCCCTTGTTTCTTGTCTGGGATATTCTCCCCAGAAGTTATTTTAAAAAATAACTTCTATGACAAAAAACATTTTTTTACCCAAGTGACGAGATCGTAAGCTCAATAGAAGAGGAACAAAAGAATTACATAAAACTAAAATTCTTTTGGAAAATCTTCTAAATCTTACAACCGCACTTATAAACATTTTCATCTTTCTCCACTTGTTATGATTTCGTTCAGCCTGAACGAAGTAACATAACCATGTAAGTTTGTTTTGTCTGTTACAACAAAACCCCTACGTCGACCGTGCCTGTGTCTATTAATAGAACAGTGTTTGGCTTGCTTGTTACTTGTTCAGGCTGAACGAAATCATAACAAGTGGAGAAAGATGAAAATGTTTATAAGTGCGGTTGTAACAGAGGTTGTATCGGCATAGCGCAGAATTCTGACAGCAAAAGATCAAAACATATTGATGTGAAGTATCACTTTCCACGAAATTACATAGCCAACGGAATAATAAAGCTTCAACATATATCAAGAGAGTCGGAAGTAGCAGACATGTTTACAAAATTATTGGATACATGCAAATTCATAAAGCGTCGATATGAACTACAATTGAAACGTAGAGTTTGAGGGGGTATTGTGTCACTCTGAATATTTATTTTTTTTTAAATAACTCAGTAAATTTAATATTGTTTCATTCACATATGTTTGCATTTTTTGTTGAATGCTTATTTTTGTAGAAAATATTTTTTCTTTCAAATTTGATCCTCCTTCATGTACCTACCATTTTTGAAGTTTGTTCTCTAATTAATAAAACATTTATAAAAATAAATAACCACCGCGTTTTATCTTTGCAAGAATATTATTCATTTTCAATAATATAGTCTGTTCAGTTATAGGTCATTGTAAGTTTTATATGTTATTGATTACAACAAAGTATTTCTATATTTTGTAATTAATTAATTGCAGGCGTAATCTATTTAAGAAAACATAACACGTTTTTACGTATTGCACGATCTCTTCTTCGTCAAATGTCGATAATAATAAGCGGTATTATCGGTATTGCTATTATAGTTAATCTTCTTGTTTGTTGTATGTTATTAATATGTAGCTTTTTCCAGTGTTAACCTTCTGTTGTAGTTGTTCTCAGATTGTAATATTCGTATTTTGTCAAAGTTTGGTATGTGATTGCTACGTTTGCAAGTGTTTTTTCTCCATAATGTAATGTCTGATTTATGTCCCAGTAATCATTTATTTTTTTTTATTTTTTCATGTTTTGTTCCATCACATCCAATGCTATATATTACATTGAGTGAGTTATCGGAATTTTACTTTTAATGTTAATAATAAACATTTTAATATATTGTTGTGTTCCTATCTGCAATTTATGTTTGTTGTGTAAATCAGAGTTTTGGAATCTTCCATATATTCCAGGAAAATAAATCATTTATTTGTAATTTTTCTTAGATATCTCCCTCGTTTTTGGTATTTTATATTTGTTTTTTAGTACCATTTAGTACAGTTCTTACATATAGTACACATTTCTAAAACCACCTCCTTATATCAACCCTAGTTTTCCATCCTAATTTTTATACCAAATGTTCCTCCCAAATTTTAGAATTCTGCCTGTATCTGTTCGACCAGCACAATCAAATGAATTTTGAAAAACTTTTGATACAATTAAGGTAAAAATAGTATCCCATATCCGTCTCCTACCTCTTCACCAATTTTCGAACAAATCGGTAAAGCCATTTTTGAGTTATAAACATTCTTTTATATATAGATGTTTTTTAGGATAATGAAACCTATATATTCATATGTGTTTACATTGCTGTAAATAATATTTCATTCATTTACAGGCATTGGATGCACAGCATAGAAAAGCAGTTGCAGATATGATTCATGAATTGAGTGATAAAGCACAGTTCATTACAACCACGTTTCGACCGGAGCTGTTGGAAAATGCCCACAAGTTCTATGGCGTTCGTTTTAGGAATAAAGTAAGTCACATTGATTGTGTTACACGGGAGCAAGCAAAAGACTTTGTGGAAGATGATAATACACATGCGTAAAATATTATTGTAAATGATAAAGATATTTGTCATATTTACACTCAAAAACGTTATAAAACCTGTTTATGTAATAATGTAATTTTTGGCCCAGCTCTTAATAAAAAAAATTATGTAAAGAAATGTGTTTGTTAACAATTTGATGTATCGGAAAATTTATGAGTAAGTCAATTTCGTATTTTTACTACAAATGTAATTGATAAAAATTTAAAATGAACTTTTTAGACAATTTTACCTATAATAATCTTTATATTCCCTGAAAATAAATGTTTATTAAGAAGAAGTTTGCAAGAGCTGTGTAACAAAAACAAATGCGACATGTACCACACCCATCGCTGATTTTCGGTTAGACAAAAAAAGAATACTCCAAAGCTAACAATTATAGTGACAAATATTAAAGTTCCGGTGGGTATAAATCAGTAAACTGCACCTTGCAAAATACAAAAGTACGTTAGAGCTACCAGCTAAATTTTATAAAAAAATCAAACCTTTTTCAAAAATGTCAAAAATTAAAATACGCAAATGTATGTATTTAAAGAAACATAAAATAGACAACATAACATAGACAATATTCAATAAATAGAAAATATTTAAATATGACGTTATTTATAATTTATTTATAAATAAATAAATACTTGAGTTTATCTTTTCGCGAAATATTTAATGTTGTCATAATAATTTGATTTATGTTTTAAATAACCTTTGGTATAATGTTATGAAAATAATTTCGGTCTTTCACGTTCAACATTAGCTGGCAAATACTGTAATACCACTTAACAAGTTTTGTTTTTATAGGAAAAAGATTTGGACCATCAATTATCCTTTACAATATTTTCAAACATTTTCTAAAAAAACAAAAACCTGAACTCAGGAAATTCCGAATTCAATTTTTCGTCAAAACTGGCAGCAGTGTCTTACGTATTGACTGACACTCAAAAAATACAAATACAACATTACAAATTCAGCAGAAAAAATGATTAGATACGTACAAAAACAAACAAAACATCTCAAGAGCCCTTATAGAGCGTTTACATACAAAAGTGTTGCCCTGGTTAAGGTTCTTTATTCAAATTGATCAATCGTCAGGGTTAACTGGGACAATAATTTAAATGTACACTAAAGACGTTGTTGTAACAGTGGTGTATATTGTATTGTTTAATAACTGCTAATTTGGATCTGCTTTGATGTCCAGGTTTAGGAATTCTGCAACCCACTCTTCTGGACTGAGTTGGGTTGGATAGTTGATAAGATACAGTGAATTGTGCGGGCCTGTATCACTCGCTGGGCATACTTTTCGCACATCTTTATCAATTCGTGCCCGGGGTGGACTCCCAGGATAACTACATCTGCGACTGCATTAGTATGAATGATATTTAGACCCGATTGATAGGCTTCTTGATCTAGAGGCTCTCTCTTGTATAGTTGGACCTCACTCTAGATCATTCAGGCCCTTCCTAACATATCTGGGTGGAGGAGTTCTGTCCACCATATAATGGTTAGGATGGCTCTCTCGGTAACACTCAAGCAGTACTACAAATAAATGATTATGCTGACGTAAGGGAAGAATCTTCGTCTCCTCATGTATATGATACACAGGGGTCATGAGGAGGCATGCTGAATACTTTTACATTGCGTTGCACTCGTATTCGCAAACCACACTGGTACCGCATAGCTAACCACAGACCGACTTATCGCTTTATAAGAGGTCAACATGGTTTCCTTTTCCTCGCCCAAATGCTGCCGGCTGCCGTCTTAAGACCCTTTTCTACTTTTCATTTTATCGCAGATAGCTTTGGCTTGCGCGGACGACTTGAATATGATTTTGAATGTGACCCCAAAGATTTTTGGATAGTTAATGATCAGAATTATGTGCCCCTCGACCTGCACATTCAGTTCTGTTCTCATTTTCGCCGTTTATGTGGTATTTGGTTTGGTGGTGGATATTTTCATATTCCTCGTATGGAAGGAAGCCGCAAGCTCCGTGAGATAGCTGTTCACCCTGACGCATATGTCTTCAACGACAGGACCCGACGCCATGATCGTACAGTCATGCGCATAAGTTACGATTTCGATGGAGATCTCGGAGAAGTAGATGTTAAAAATATCCGGATATATCACCCCACCTTGGGGAACTCCCTGTTCCACTCTATGAGATTTGAACAGCTTGGCATAATTGACCGTATCAAAGGCCTTAGATAAGTTAAGAGCCACCACTAGTGTTCCATGGCATTCCTGTTCTGGTTGAGCCCCGACTGATATGTCAGGATATAGGGTGCAATCCATATGTGGTACTGTGTTGTGGACGGAATCAATCTTGATGATTGTCAACTGGATAACCTTAGGGTAAAAGAAACAGAGGAAATGTGGCAAAAACCATTAAAATGCCGAATATCGGGAGGTACCGTGATTTGGGGGCTACACCAAAACGTGGACCTATAATTACAATGTTTCGCTACACAAACTAGGACCCATTATGACCCACAAATACCAATTTTTAGACAAATCAGTGAAAAAATGTTGCAAAAACCATCAAAATACCGAATATCGGGATGTACCGTTATATGGGGGCTATATCAAATCATGGACCCATGCATGCAATGTTTCGCCACCGAAGCTGGAACCCATTATGACCAACAAATACCAATTTTCAGACAAATCCGTGAAAAAAATGTGGCAGAAATCATCAAATTACCGAATATCTGGAGGTAGCGTTATATGGGGGTTATACCAAAACGTGGACCTATAATTACAATGTTTCGCCACCGGAGCTGGAACCCATTATGACCAACAAATACCAATTTTCAGACAAATCCGTGAAAAAATGTGGCAAAAAAAAACTAAAATACCGAATACCGGGAGGTACCTTTATATGGGGGCTATACCACAACGTGGACCTATACATGCAATGTTTTGCCACACGCTCAGGGACCCGTTATGACCTACAAATACCAATTTCCAGACAAATCCGTGAAAAATGTGGCATAAATCATCAAAATACCGAATATAGGGAGGTACCGTTATATGGGGACTATACCAGAACGTGGACCGATATATCTCATTTTCAATACCAACCATCCTAGACACAATGCAAATAGCTCTGCTAAACTTTGGCGCTCTACGTCAAATAATGTGTGCTGTATCGTGATTTCAACAGACAGACAGACGGAAAGACAGACAGATGGACATCGTTAAATCGACTTAGAATTTTATGCTGATTATGAATATATATACTTTATGGGGTCTAAGACGAATATTTAAGGATGTTACAAACGGAATGACGAAGTTAATATACCCTCCTTTCCAAGGTGGAGGGTATAAAAACAGTGAAGTGGAATTAAATTAACAAGAAAATCAAAGAGAAAAAATTCTAATAATTAATTAACATTGAAAACAGCACATTTTTTTAGAAAATTGAAATCAAAAATAAATCCTTTTAAAACAGTGAAGGGGAGTTTTTTTAGTAAATTAAAATAAATGTAAAACCTTAATAAAAAATTAAAAAAAAAAAAATAATAAAGTAATAAAAAGATAAAGTCCCCAGTAGTGCAAAATCGAAACGGAATTTTAAATAAAAGAGGAATCACAACAGATAAAAGTGTTACCAATCAATCAATCGAAAAAAATAAATAAATAAAAAATATAAATAATTGTGGGACGAAACAATCTAGTTTTTCAAATAAGTTCCCTAGCAAATAAGGGGGTGCAGCAGATTCTGCACTCATATCCTATAATATCTTCGATAGTAATTGGATAAAAATTAAAGAGTGTCTCTCACTACACTATGCGGACAGAAGAGACATACGAACCCTTGAGCACCAGTTACACCGCCTAAATAAGAAAGGTATGAAAATCGACGAATTTTGTGCTAGAGACAATCACCAATTTTCATTAATTATATATAATTCAAGTTTGTTTTTTTAATCGACCTTTTCCAATGTAATTTCAATAAATAAGTCTTTCTTTGAGCTTTAGGTCTGGGTTTTTTTCTTTATTAAAATCCGATATTTCGCAATGGGTTACATTGCATCTTCAGGGAGATCTACAAAAATACATTTTGATTTTTATATTTCATGTTATCACAGCATTAAATTATTTAACAAAACGATAAAAGACAAACAGAAAAATACACAGAAAATAAATATATTGCTTACATGTAAAACATCTATAAAAGTGTCAAGTTTTACTTAAACCTACGATAGAATTTCACTATCATCGTCTGTGGTAAATATTGCACTGAGTTGTTTTACATATTGCACGATCTATTTTTCTGTGTGAGATGGCGGTAGCAATAAGCTGCGTTGTCGGTGTCGCTCTTATAGTTTATTCTCTTTGTTGTTGGTAGGTTATTAATATGTAACATTTCTAAAGTCAATCTCCTGCTGTAGTTACTCTCCGTTTGTAGTATTTTAATATTCTCAAAGTTTGGTGTGTGGTTATTTCTCCTGCAATGCTCAGCAAGAGCTGTCTTTTTTGTCTCATTTTCGTTTCTGCATTTGATGTTTGATTTGTGAGCAGACATTCTCGTTTTAAGTCTGTTTTTTGTTGTCCCAACATACAGTTTCCCATATTTTTCGTTGTTGTTTCCCTCGCATTCAATTTGCTAAATTACGTTGTGTTTGTCTTCGGTGTTTATTTTGCTTTTAGTGTCGCTGAAAAACTTTTTTAGAGTGTTGTTCGTTTTTTGCGCTATTGCAAATGTATTCTTGTCGTATATGTTAGATTTTAAGAACCTTTCTGACATGTTTGGTATGTAAATCATCGACTTGTATGTTTTTTCCTCTTTTTCTTGTTTTGGTCTTGTGGGTCTATATTCAATAAAGTTGTTGATCATGTTCATTGGAAAATTATTCATTGTCAATATTTCTCTGATTTTGTTTTTGTTTCGGCTGTGGAATTTTTCGTCACTTATATTCAATACTCTGTGTACAAAATTCTTAGCAGTGTTAATTATTATTTGTTTCGGATGCTTTGAAAAGAAATTAATGATTCTGCCAGAAGCTGTCGGTTTTTGGTACCAATCAAATTCTATTTTCTCATTGTTCCTACAGACTATTGTATCCAAATAGGGTAATCTTCCATGTAATTCTTCCTCCATCGTAAATTTGATATTGTTATTAAAGCTG